CACAGCCATTATCCCCGCATCTGCATTCAAGAATAATTCTGGTTTGTGTGGTGCTCCTCTTCCTCCTTGCAAGCATGCTTAACATATTTCCTCATGGAATTCAAAATATCTTTTCCTTGGGGTTCACTGTTGGTGACAGAAACACTCACATCGATCCAAAGGAATTCTTTGCTTCTATTTCTTGTAAAATAAAGAGATGTATGGTCTCATTTCATTAAAAACAATGTTTGGTGTCATTCCCATGTTTGGATTATCATATATTTGCTTTGACCCTGCTTTTGTTTTTTTTTTTTTTAAATATATACATATATTTTTTTTCCTTTTTCTTCAATTGAATTATATTGTTTAAATTACAATGCAATATATAGCCCCACCATCCCTTATCCACTGATCCACACCATGTAATTATAGCATTATTGGTCAGCAGAATTTAAATTATGTTTTTCTTCTTTTATATGGAATTGTTACCACGGGAAATTTGTATCTTCTAGCTTCTTGTTTGGTAGTGGTACAAAAAGCTTGCAGTCTGCCTTAGGGCTCCAGCTCCCGCCCAGGACTTGATGATTAATCTTTTTCTAAACAAGCAGAATTACTAGTGGGATGCTTCTTGTAATTGCAACAAACGCTTCAGGCCGTATTCGTTGCGGGATCCCATGTTTGAATTCCGATTCCACGAAACGCTTCATGTCTAGGTTCTACACACGTTTGAGGCAAAATCTTGTTGTTACTAAGACTAGATCTAGATTTAGATTTTTCAGTACATCATAAAAAGTAACAATTATATAGTTATAATATTATATAAAATTATAAATTTATAATTTTAATATAAAATTAAATAAATAAATATATAATATTTTGAGTAAATTTCTTAATAAAAATATTAATCATACAATATTATTAATTATGACGTTTATATTATAAAAATTATATTTTATAATTCAAACTATACAAAATTATAAAATAAAAACTATGTAAAAAGAAAGTTTTTAATATAAAAAAAACTTTTATTTAATAATTATATAATCATGTTTCACAATTTGAATTGATATAGGTTATAAAATAAAAATTATTTGATGGAAAAAAGACTCACAATATCATTAAATAATTAATATTTTATAGTATAAATCAATTTAAATTATAAAATGTTTTTTATTATAATTAATATAATATTATTTTTTTTATTTGAATCACTTAGTATCTAAAAGTTTATTGGACCATTGACTAATCCAGATTCGACCCAGATAAGACTCAATAAATAATAAAATCCTTCTTTACAAATTTTAATAAAACTGCATTTTTTAAATTTAAAATCAAAAATTTCTATTAAATTAAAAAAATCTCTTACCAACCTATCATCCCATCCCGTAATATTAGTAATTCATTACAAACTACGCTCTCCACTTTTTCCTTTTATTATTTGCAAAAAATAAAATCTGACAAAAAGATGTTACGGCAACGTGGGTTGTGGGGCGTGGGGCGCACGAGATGGCTGGCTGGGCTCCTTATTCTTCTCCCTTTGGAGCGGCCCGGTTTGTGTTTCCGATCATTGGGCCATTGGAGGGTCCCTGAAGCCCCGTTTCAAAAGCAATCAGGCCCCGTCTATCATGGTCCAAAATCCATTCACACAAATACGACATCATAAATGAATAATTCATTAAATAAAAAATCATATCTCACAAGTATCAGCTAAAGTATGTAGTAATTGAAAAGAAAGAAAGAAAGAGAAAAAGGGTAATAATGACGACTGCCGTGATTGGGGGATTTTAACGTGAGATAAAGTCGTGTGTGAACTGTTATATGATATATATACACATAGATAGATATATAAGAATAGTATATATTCACTTTACTTTTTAAAAATTAAAAAAAAAAATTCTCCTAAAGATATATTAATGCATATTAATTTTGATTTTTATAAAAAAAGAGAGTTTTAATTTTTATTTAAAAATTAAAATTTCAATTTAAAAATTAAAAATTTATCATATTAAATGTTTATACTTAAATTTAGAAACAAATTATATATTATAATATAATTAATTTTTAAATTTAAATATTAACATTTAATAGAATAGATTTACAAAATTTGAATTAAATTTGAATTAAATAAAATCATGTAA